GTATTTGAGAGTATAAGTATTGAGATGCGCCCGAATAGCTTTAAGGTAAAAATAAACTAAAGATTTTGCAATACTACTTCAAATCGGCAGGCAGTTTGTGGTTTTCGTCAAGAAACGAAGACATGGAGAAGGGAGCCGGCGGCGCTCCCTAGAAGCTAGCCGTTATTGTATTGCTGAGTAAATAGCAAAGTGAGGTCCTACTACATGCAGCTAGACTACATGGTACTGGTTGTCTTCAGCTGCATTGGTCGGACACGAAGGTTTTCATCACGCGTGGCGTGACAGGGTATCCTGTCATCCTGTCATCCTGGATGCCGAACGCTGAATACAGCGGTGTCGATACGCGGAAGATCATGTGATCTGTAGTCTTCAACTTGTAGCTGGAGCTGGATTGGATCTTAAAGAACATGGGTAGCATGCATTATTAATACACAGTTCTTGAATTGTCCAGACGCAAAGACTGTTATCTAGCAACTGGGTAATCCAGTTGCTCGGGTGGTCGGTCGCTAGGCTAGGGGTCGAGATCAGAGATGATTAAAGCACCCAGATTCTAGTGGCGATTGTACCAAGCATAATCTTAATTTGGCAGGATTGTTGGAATGGTTAAAAAATGAGGGGTTGGCACTTAGGCCATACAGTATGAAAACTATACTCTTCCTGTAGAATACGGTGCTGGAAACCCCGCGAATGCAGTTTTCTCGCGTAATCGGGTTATCAGAGCACTGAAAATTAAAGTGCCGTGCGCGTGGGTATCCAATTGCAAGACAGTCTCATACGTGTTGAGTCGGCTGCGTAAGGAGATCTTGTCCGCTTCCTCACTTTCGGATTTACTCTCGACCTCCAAACCAACGCCTCCACCCCATCGCCACTTAAAATCATGGTCTTCACTGTCATTGTCAGCTTGTACGCTAAGGACGGCGTTGAAGACCAGTTGCGCGCCAAGTTGGCCGAAGCCGCACACCACAACGCCAAGGACCCCAGCGTCCTCGGATGGCACCCCATGCAAAGCGCCAGCGACCCACGCAAGTGGACCATCGTCGAACGATACGATCAAGAGAGTGTACGTATTTGCTGCTGTTTTCTGCCAACGATACCATGCACTCGAAGTGCTGTTTTCTCGGCGCGTGTTGGTGGATTGTGACTGATCGTGTTGGTTGCTGTGTCTGTGTTAAATTGCTGCTGCACTGGTATCCGACAGAACGCAGCGAAAGCGTCGTGATAACGCGGACATGAAGGCGTTCGCGGAGACGTTGTTTGTGCTGCTAGAGAGCGGCAAAGATAGCTTGGAGCCGCACATGTTTAACGAGTTGTAGACGACTGCACTCAGTGGACTTCAAGCTTGGACAAAAGTCAGCTCTCCTGTCGTTATCAGCGTTTGCAGGGCGGGTTTCTGGCCGTCTGAAGCGGTTTACATCTCCCAGTCGTTAAGTTTTGTTGCGACAAACTAGAGTTCAGTATGGGTAGTGATCGTAGCTCGAGCGAAAAGTGATGCTCATGTTGCTCTTTTGCTTTTTTTTGCTCCACACTCTAAAACAAAATGTTTTATTAATAGATCCATTTTTTAGGTGGCTCCATTATAATGGTCACCCATTCTGGGATATTTTAGCAATTACGGCAAGAGTCATTTGGCAACACTTAACCGCCCAGATACCCCCCCCTCCACTCCACGCACAGCCCCGATGCTATCCGCAGACGAGTGGCGTCTCGCGAATGGCCTAAGACAAATAACTTTTGTAAATGTAATTATAATGAAGACTACGAGTTTTAATAGTACTACACCTTTGCCAGGCCAAGATGGTGCTACTCCACTTCAAACCGGATTTTTTTTAAAAAAATGAAGACAAAAATTTGATTACGAAAAAGTAGCACTAAAAAGGAAATTCAAAGTGGCGAAAACGCATAGCAAAGTGGTCCCCTCAGGCTGAGCTGCAGCTAGGTGCCGTACTGCATGTCTTCCATGCACTCCGCGCCAGCAACGGAATGCTGGCAATGCAGTGTCAACCTGTTAGCAAGGTGCGTGTCGATACATCCGATGCGGCGTCTCGCCGCGCGCTCCAGTTTCTCCATCCGAGCAGCCGCAACCGTCCCGCGAGGATGCTCCACAACCAGCCCTTTACGGGGCAAGGCAAGGTCGGCCTTGATCTTGGCCTTAAAAGCACTAAAACACCCTGTGGCACCAGTTCAAAAGTCGGTTAGTATGCCAAAAAATATATATATATATTGTAATACAGTATACTGCGTACCTTGAATGGGGTTACATATTGAAGAGTACGGAGCCAGCCGTACAAGTACCAAGTCGGCTCGTTCAGCGACGTGTGCTTCCGTTTGCTTCCACAAATCGACGTGATGCGGTGGCGGGGATTCCGTTGTGGGCGGCCACAAGCGTCCAGTCACCGCCGACACGGAGGCAGTCGAGGACACGAGCTCGGGCAAATGCGAGGTGCGGGGCTCTGGGCATCTTGGGGTAGGTAGAGGCTTGGCTTGGTTGAGGGCTTGGTAAAAGATTGATAAGAGAGAGCGAGGAATGGCAATGAAGTGCTCGCGCACACGCTCAGGAGGGTTGATCCGCTTTGAACTGCGAATAAACCACTTTGAAGTACGGAGTGCGTTTACTCGACATATTTGTGAAGTGACATAAACTCTAATGTAAAAATTGAGAATAATTTTTAAAAAGGTTTAGTTACTTCACCACTTTGAAGTGGAGTAGCACCATCTTGACCTGGCAAAGGTGTAGTAGGTCATCCCTCTCGAAGGATTTATTTTATTATTATAACATTTAAAAAATGAAGACATGTACACCGTTCACTCTATTTAGTCGTGCAACGACTATTTTCGGTATAACAGTAAGACGCCAATTTGTCTGAACGATTATTGGTGGTGAACGACCAATTGAGGTGTACGACTGATAGTGGTTTATGGTATTGTTCAGATTTTGTTTTGGCACCACTTTTTTATGACATCGAAACAAACGATGGCATTGGTGGAGTGGTCTAGCGGGCGTCGTTCTACGCGGTGTATCGCGGGTTCGAGTCCCAGTCCGTAGTGATGACACAGAGAATCCCCATGGGGGATTTGAAACGCCATATAAGTCCATTTTAATATATCATCCCAGCACACACAAAAAATAGACTTACTATGCAAGAGCTCTCATTGTATCCTTTTAGCAAAATCCTCTGGAAATACAGCAACAATTTCTCTCAGTTTCCGTGTAAGCTGGTCCACTTTCCAAACACCATCAGCGGGAACGTCTAAACCGCATTGCACCATAGACCAATTGAAGCCGTTAGCATCCTTCTCAGAGTTGACAAGTTCGATGCACTCTGCTGCCAGCCTTAAAAAAAAGCTTTGCCAGGGTTTGCGAGTTTTCCGGACGAGGAAGCACCTTGCTTCCAATTACCATTACAAATTGCTTCCATATTGCGACGCTCGCACAGCCGACGCCAATGCTCCTTAATTCGCTGAATGGGGAAGGAATCTGCTGGTTGAACTTTGTCTGTAGCGTTAGGAGGGAACAGATTCACTGTCGTTCTCAAGCGTCGCGCCGTGTCCTCGACGTCATCTCCGCAATGACCACTGGCGTTATCCATCCATAGCGTTCTGGACGATGCAAACGGGCCACCAGGCCCCCAACACCGAGGCTCCTCCAACCACTCCATCATAAGCCGCCCGTTGATGAACGCACTTGCAGATGATCTGTAGCAGACGCCCTTTACGCTGTCAGATAACCCTTGGATTGGATAACTAGAGCTTTTGTTCTTGAAGATCAACATCGGGCACATTATGCGGGCGTCCGATCCACCTTTCACTAACACGCACATTGTGATTCCCTCACGGCCTACTCATGTACAATGTTAGCTTCAATTTAGATGATAGAAACTGGTACGATAGCAGCTTACCAGATACGATGCTCCTGTACTTCACAGTATTAGCCCCCACAAAGTCAAGAGTTTTACCGTCGTCGAGGTCAATTACAAAATGACTTTCGTCCATATTGTACTGCTGGTTGGGATCCAGTGTTCCTTCCTCGAATTGACGCTTCAATCGTCCGAGGTGAACAGCAATCGACCGATCGATCTCTATCTGCTTATCTTCACTGACTTGCTTCTTTCCCTTGTGTCGACGATAGACGATGTTGTTGCGCTCAAGGAAATCCTGTACTCTGCGCGGAGTAATCATGCTAGTAAAAAGCTTACCTTTCACAGTAAATCGAGTGTTGTGAATGGTGTGATCGCTGTCCTCAATTAGTACGATTGCGATCTCTGAGATGAGGGAGGTTGACATCTTGCAACCAGCGCGTCGTAAGCGTTGAAATTCCGTTAGCAGTTTGGGATAAAGCCACTGCCAGTGATCACTGAGCTTTTGACCTCTCCCACTTAAAGCTTTTATCACGAACTGATGTCGAATTCGTTGACGTGCTGTTGCATATTTACGTTGTTGGGGGTCCTCGAGCTTTGCTACTGTCGTCTTGCGCTTATCCCACCAGTCGCGAGCCTTGTTCATGTTGATGATTCGGTCTGCCGAGCGGAAAAGGCTGGGAAAGAAATCGACAGTCCGGCCCATTAACCCTTTCCTTCCATGTAGTGCGTGGTCGAGCTCCATCCATTCGATGCAACGGACACGGTCGCGAATTGGCACGACTTGCTGAAGGTTTCTCTTGGATTCGCTGGTCATCGTAAATTTGACACTGAACGCTGTTAGAGTTGCCGATGAATGACTACAACGATGGTACATGAGTAATTGTGGTGTGAGTACCGTATACTATCGACTACGTACGATGTACGACTATTTAGGTCGCATGACCGAACCTGTTAATGCACCTTCAAAAAAAAAGTTGCGCAACTTAAATTACGGTAATTTAAAAACGAACCGTAACCGTGGAACCGAACCAGGCGCTGAAAATCCCCCTCAGTTCAAAATTTGCGAGCTTCCTGCCAACCGCCGCCAGAGCTTCCCGCCAACCCGCCGCCGGAGCTTCCCAGAGCCTCCTGCCACCTCCGCCGATGCCTCCACTCAAGAAGAAGCGAAGGACTTCCCCTCTCGAGCACGCAGACGACTCCAGCGACGACAGCGAACTGTTAGAGTCGACACAACCGTCATCTGCGTCAAAAGCTACGGGTAAGGAATACGTGAAATGGAACTGAAGCTAGAGAGTTTGTCGCTAATGCTGTTTACGTTTATTAATGCTTTAGATCCTTCTTATGTTCCTGTTCCGAGTATTGTCGGAAGGACTTTTGCGTCGTGGCCGGATTTCTTTTCGTTTTGGGAGCAGTTTGAAAGGCAACATCTTGTTGTCTATCGCACGAGAGACTGCCAGACTACGAAAGGGTACAATAAGTCAAAGATAAATCACCCAGAGCGCCAGGCCCCTGAATCATTTGGCTACGCGTTTCGCAAATACGTTTGCACTCTCGGCTGCAAGCAGAAGTCTCGGTCGACTGGAAAACGGGCTAAGCGGAAGGAACGATATCGCGCATGCAAAGCAATGTTTCGCGTCGCTGTTATTCGTGCTAGTAGTGGTGACTTTTCAAGTAGTTCTAACTGGACCATTACAGTAACAAGTGAGGTTGGTTTTATCATTTCTTTTGTTTTTTTGTCCAGTATATTACTATTCCGTATGTACATGTCAAACTAATATAAATCCTCGTTATTGTGTATTTGTAGAACACGTGCCACAACCATGTCAACACCGAGACGCTTTATACTGCTTTGAAGCAGTGCAAGGACCTGTTGAGCGAGTCAGTGTTGTCCATGCTGGACGCATTCGGGCAGACCAACACGGACACTAAGCAAATAGCCAGCTATGTTGCTGACACGACTGGTACGTCCTATTATCTTGCTTACAGCTGTTGGTAGCCATTCGTAACGTGTACCGCTGCTGGAATACGACACAGGTCTTCCAATCTCTACGCAACAAGTGCGTAACCTCATGAATGCTCGTCTCGGGCACAGCAGTGCGGAGAAGCGCTTAAACGGTGTGCTGTCTGAATTTGCTTCCACACAGGGAGATGAATGCGTGCTGCTGCAAGGCGAATACGATCAGACTATCGGAATTGTGATGCAGACGAAAGCGCAGCGTGATATCTTCGCTCGCTGGGGCGATACGCTGTCGCTGGACTGGACGCACAATTGTACAAATCTCAGCTTCTACGTCGGTACGTGCTGATGTTGCACAACTTCTACCGAAGGTGCGCAACTTGGTGCAGGTTTTTTTGTAGCTTACGAGATACTTGTTTGGTGCTGTTCAGGTACTCTTAATGCCACCGTAGCAACCGGACGCGGCGTATCTGTGCTAGATTACCTGTGTCTGAATCAACAAAAGGAGTCTCTGTTAGCTGTGCTTCAGTGGTTCAAGACGAAGAACCCATCGTGGGGGTCGATTGGAAAGTCTCATCATTGACAAAGACTTCACAGAGTGGTCTACGTTACGCGAGGTGTTTTCCGCAGGCGGCTGTGAGTCTGTTGGTTTTGTATAATAATAATACTAACAACAGTGCTACTAGATTTTTGCTTTGCCAATTTCATGCACAGCGTTATGTGAAGAGAATGATTGCCGGCAAGAAGTACTTTGTGCTGCCCAAGTATCGCGATGAAATCGAAGAGCTGTTTAAACAAATGGTTTACGTCCCGACGAAGGAACAGTTCCAGAGCAGGTTGAAGCTGTTCGAACAGAGAACAAAGAAGGCTGCGCCAGGGTTTGCTGAGTACTTTGCACGAAACTGGTCAGCCTGTAGCAGTATGTGGGCGAACTATGGGCGTCGACGATGCTACTCGGCGAATAGCACTACTACAAACCGGGTGGAGGCTGGGTGGAACCAGTTAAAGCAGCTGCTGGGAAAAAAAACTAGCATCGACCGATGCGTTCGAGTGATAATTTAACACCAACTCAGTGTTTTGCGTGATTTTTCGACGGCGATAAATCTGTTTGATGTGTGCCCTCCTGTGACGGACCCGCTACCGGCTGCGTTGCACCGCATCGCTACAGTTCTGAGCCCGTACACGCTGAGGAAGGTGCAACAGCAATGGGAGAGGTACAAGCTGAATGGTGCGAATTGGGAATGGAGTTGTGAGCAGGACGGAGGTCATGACGTCTTCACAATGGCTACTTCGGAAGGCAGCTGTGTTCGAGTGACATGGCGAACTTCTGGTCAACCCAGTTGCGATTGTATTTTCTTCTCGTCGTTACGGCTTCCTTGCAAGCACCTGTGTAGTGTCTTAACGACCTTCAGAAGCGACAATGTTTTTGAAGTTGCCCAACTTCACGCGTGCTGGTCGATGAAGGAAGCATCGGCAACATTGCCATTTGTAGAGTCGACAATGGGGCATTTACGAGAGGTTACAAGAATTACAGGAAATGCATCACACACGCCTGCGTCGAGTATCATGCTTGCTTCGAAGAAACGGATTGCTTTTTTGAAGCTGAAGAAGGGTGAGACCAGTGATGAGACCGTACTCTCTGACTGCGAGAAGTACAACGTGGTTAGAGCGGAAGTTATGCCGTTAGCTGACAGTCTTCAGAGCCTCCCGTCTGCTAAGTTCTACGAAACATTTGCCGATCTTCGCGCAACAGTAAGAACCTTCAAGAAGAAGTGGAGCTTGGACCGAGACTCTCTCTCAGATGCGGGTGAATCGGACGACGAGTCCGATGCGATGGGCCTGGAATACGAGATGGCATGTGAAGGCGTTGGTATCATGAATAACGCGCAACTTCCCGTTCGTACTTTGGAAGAAGCCGATATTTATGAGCCTCCGAAGGACAACGCGAGCTCTCCCGTGATACAGGGACTCGATGGAGACGATCTGCCGTCGTGTTGCTTAACAAACCCATCCCAGACATCCCTGCCGGACCTGACTATCAGCGAGCAATCACAAGAGGTGTTGCAACGGCAGCCAAGTGTTCATTCAGCAACGTCTACAGCATCTCTATTGGCGCAGCCGGGGTTTCTTTTGGAGCTGGCGGGTGCTATAGACAACATGCAAGCTCTGCGATTACCTGAAGCATCCAGTTCACGGTCGAGAAACACTAAAAAGGGCAGCAAGTGGGCAATCGCCGAGTGTCGAACCGATTGTCCTGTTGATCTTGAAGACTTCTTGAAGTGGATTGACACTACGCCTGACGTTGATTACGTCGGAAAAATAGCTTCAAATTACCCGGTTTGTTACAACAAGAGTTTCCTGCTCTCAAGATCTCCAACGGTTCTTCAAAAGAGGGCAAGTGAAGTCATTAATAATGCCAATTTTGTCATTCCAGTGGAGTTGTTGGAGCGTGTGAATACTGCACTACTTCATTGGACTTCAAAGCAGACCGAAACAGAAGATTCAGATGCTTCGCAAGACGATGTGGTTCCAGCGGCATTTGTGGCTTCTGAAATGGGCGGCTTCTCCATGTAAGTTTTGATAGTATGTTTATCTACTTGACGGCTCTGACCTGTGTCTATGGTTATTGTAGGAATTACGTACGACTTGTGAAAAACTATTACGCGTCCATGAAGGCTGTTGATGATTATCGAATGGATCTAGCATGGTTGCGTGGAGGGTGGAGTAGTATGACACCGATGAAGCATCATTTTTTGAAGGAGGCACCGGCGTCACCTGCAGTGTTGTCACGTGAAGTTGCGCAACTATTTCGCCAGTCGCCATTGTCTCGGACGTTTGTCATATCTTCAGGGCCTGCAGGACGCAGTGTTACTTCAACACTTCGCCATATAGTGGGCAAGTTAGCGAGAAGCAAGCGTCTTAATGACGCCGTGATGGATGCAGCGCTCTGGCATGTGTCAACGTACTGCAAAACCTGCTACGCTATCGACGCTATCTCCGTTACTAACGAGAAGAGATTCGTTCCAGACTTCTCTTTGGCGTCATGCAACTACGTGCTGGTGCCTATTCACATGGCTGCCTTGAAGCACTGGATTATTCAAATTGTGAAGATTCAGATGGCCGATCCGGATACGTCCAAGCACAAGATATGGGTAACTTTCTACGATCCATTAGGCGTGGCGTCTAACTTAGATGTGTGTCAAGCAAAGTGGATATCGTTCACGCTTCCACTACTTCAACAATGGTTTGATCGAGATCAAGACAGAGAGAAGTTGCGCAAGTGGGTGTCTATTCTGGTGACAACAAAACGCCAGATTAACTCGGGGGACAGCAAAGCAGTCACAACAACTAGGCCAAATGATGATGGTGCAGCGCCCATGACCTCTCCGTGCTCGTTACCTGAAATTGTTGCAGTTCCGGCTACGACCCCCAAGCAAGTAGACAGTGTAAGTTGTGGTATTATGTGCATTGCGCAGGCCTATAGCTACGTGACTCGCGTGCGATCGCTGAAGGCATGTAGCTCGATTTCAGACAGTGATTTGGCTCAAATGAGACTGCGCCTACTGTGGACAATGCTGCATAAGTCAACTGGCGATGCAACTAGAGATAACGAGGGCTGGGCGCAGCTATTAGACATTCGGAAGAAGGTGAAGACAGCGTTCAAGAGCTGCTGAGTACATCATTCATGTATAAATGAATTAAACTATGTCTTCTTTTTACGAATAACATCACTTAATACTGTAGAGAATGAAACATTCACGTTGTGACGGAGCTCCTTTCCTTCTGTTGCTGTCGTCACCGCATCTCTCATATTATCGCCTACAGTTGCCGCAATATCTCCATGAAGCTCCACCAGCGCCACGAGAAGATCCTCCATCTTGTTCAGATTGAGCTGAAGCTCCTCAAGCTCTGAAATCCGGCTCCATAGAAGCATTGAAGAAGCTTCCTGCGGTTGCAAGCATTCGCTGCTCACGTTTTCAGTGTGCATGGTCTGCGCGGCGTGTCCTCCGGCACCTCGCTCGATGCTCTTGCTCCGTCGCGTTATTGACTTTGTGTATCTGCGTCGTTTCGCCAACTGAACTGGCAATGACTCCGAGCGTAACCGTGCGAACCGGTTCATGTGGAGGCTGGATCGCATGATATATTACGTGAGTGGTGGTTATATATTATTCGGTTTGAGGGGAAAGGTGCCGAAGCAGAAATAGCAAGGTGCTGATCTCGTAATTTATCGATCCGATTAGACAGGAAAGGTGCTGAAGGTGCCGTTACAAAGGTGCATTAACGAGCGTCGCATGACTGAACGGTGTACTGTAGGTCATTGGTACAGTTAAGGAATGTTTTTTCGGCTATTTTGGAGTCCATGAGTTGCACAATAACCTTTGAAAGAAAAACAGCTTATGACCTTAAAAGGCGCTGGCGTCGAAGTGAACGTTCCAGAACCGCTGCGTGAAGTCGCCAATCCCCGGTCGGATGCGTTGGTCTGCGTCGAGAACGGTGTCCACTTGAGCAGTGATCAGCGTGACGTCTGTGCAAAACAAAGAAAAAAATTAGTCCGAGGAAATTCGTCGTGCCACAACACAACAAGAGCTCAGTACTCACCTGGAAAGTGTCGGTATACAGTCTGAAGACCCTCAAACGAGCTGATGATCGTCACAAAGTTAATGCTCTTAGCGGGTATCTGCTTCTCGTGAATTAGATGGTACAACACCGCACATGCCTCGTTTCCTGTGGCACACTGCACGTCAAGTAGTAGTACGACCTGGTGAGGGCTAACAGGGGGTAGCTGCGCATGAATGGTAGCCAGCCCCTCCTCGTCGCTGTTCTTGTCTTCTGCTGTTCTGGGGTTTATTGAAACTACACCAGTGGGTGACGTCGGGCTGATGGTGGAGAAGGCACGCAGTAGTACCATGCCCTTATCCTCCATTGATATGCCACAGACGTCTCGCTCATCCAGAGCTGTGGTTGCGTAGCACACGTCTCCGAATCGGTTCTTAATCTGGACGTGGTCGTGAGGCAAGCACGTAAGTGCCTCTTCGATCAAAAGCCGTAGCAGCCGTGTGGCCCGTTGCTGAAACATTCCCGCGCTGATGCTTTCGTCTCTCAAAGCAGCAATTAAGTTTCTGCACGGATACGAGTACGCCGAAGCCTCGTGGACGAGGAACGGCCGTGATGCAACAGGGCTGCTCACTGTTTCCTCAACTGGAGACCGCTGGTTGGATGATGCTTGGTAGTGTCCGGAATGGGCCCCTTGGACGAAGTCTGCCTGAGTTGCAGTCGATAGTATGCTTCTATCTCGTTGTGGTTCCTCTTCGTGCATTTGCCGGTATATGTTAAATTTCTCTGTGCTTGACTCTTTGCTATCGCGCGGAGTCCCATCCGTACCAATTGATATCGTGGATACGTCTGGGTATACCGTAATCGGTGCAGGTATAGCTGAGCTAATCTCGGTGGCCGGTGGCTGCGACGTGAGCCGTGGGCTCGGTCTCCTGCTGCGCGACCTCTTATTTGATCTCGGGTGTTTTGACTCGGAGCTACGACTTCCTCGTGTGAGCACCTCCCATCGATTTTTGTAGAGGTTGCAAATTGCAGCGCGGCTTACACAGAATTCCCTTGCCAACGCTACCTGCTTTTCGCCACCATCGATTCGCGTGATGATCTCTCGGCGGTCACTCTCGCTCAAATACCTGGAGGTACGTTCGCGACGTGGGGTAGCTGGCTGTGACGCGAAATAACTGGTTGTGTCGATGTTTGTTATATCACCATCTTGCGTGGGCTCTGTAGACGAAAATGACAACCCCTTGGACATGACCTGTTCTTCAGCTTGATAGATACTGTTGAGTCGCGAAAATGACACAGCTTTTGACCCTTTGTCTTCGACGTCTACCGAGACCTCTAAAGGGGTCTGTTTTCTCTTGAGCCGCTCGTCCTGGCGGTGGTGAGGAGTTAAGGAATTTGGAATAAAGGCGTCTTCTATACTGTTGCGTCGCTTCTTGGCTCCCATGCTACCGTTGATGCCGGTGGTGGTCATGCTAGAGGAACGTATGTCGGAAGAAGACGTTGGGAGATAGGATGAAAGCTGGGGGAGACCAGTCGGGGGCGGTTCCATGGTAATTAACTGCAGTCGGCGTCTCAAGTTCTTTGATAAAGCTTCGCGAAAAGCAGAGTGAGTGAAGTTCTGGACCTCTCTCAAGTCGGTCGGAATATACGGGCCACGCATCGAGTTGACTGAAGGGCTATGAGAAGGGACTAGAAGTGTGCAAGGCGTCTCATCAAGTTTGGATTAACAAAGCATCAACGGCATCATTCGCACGTGAGTTTACTGTTAAATTTACAGTATCATCGTCAATTCCGCTGTCTGCTTACCAAGGTCCCTTCTACCTTCTACAGTCTTGCGTTGTAAACATTGATGTGTGCGAGCGTGGTCGAGGATCTAGTTTTCAACCGCAGCTGGTTGCAGCTGCTAGTCGAAGTCGTCGGTTCATGTACCCAAGTGCCTCGTCGTCGCTGTCAAGCCCCGGGAATTAACGTGCATACCTAGCGAAATGGTGCTGCAAAGCACGATGGTGTCGGCTGAGAACGGGGTGTCCCAACAAATGCTGTTTCAAAATGATCTGTGGCTTTGCCACAATGAAGACAAAAACGCCAGGCATCATTGTTGAAGTTAACACAATAATTACGTCGCTAGCCAAAAGCGGATTTGGACCTGTACTGTAGCTAGGTAAAATACATGTACTGCACAGGACAGTACCGCTCCTACGAAGACAACGTTGCTACGATTGCTCATGAAGCTCAACAGCATCGCATCATGAAACGCTCGCGAATAGCGAGTCGCGAGGTTGATTGTGCGAAGTCAAGCCAATGTACATGTACTTCTTTAGCGAAGAATTGTGTTGATCACCAATTAGGATACCGTACCGGTACAGCAATGTATCCCATCACCTTCCCCGCTGCAGCAGCTTGCATCGCTGTGCCGTGTACTGTACATGTACTCTGTTCCAGAGTCTCTGAATCTCGCCAATGCGCTCTTCCTTCCCCTACGTGTGACCCGCTGCAGACCGTCACCGTTTTCGCTGTACATGTAAAGTATATCAAACTCCAAGAATGCAAATGTACAGTTGGTAATGTAACTTCCGATGGTGTTCCTGACAGCAACAGCAAGCTCTGCAAGCACAGCCAAATTCGGCGAGTCTCGTCCATGACTCGCGTGAATGGACCGTGGATCTGCACGGAAGCGACAACAACGCAGTGCTGGGTAGCACTGCTGGCTAACTGGCGTATGTATGATGTGTCGTTTTTTCTCCATTTTACATAGATGATCTCTTTTGGGTAATACAGTAGAAAGCTTAGCCTTTTCAAAAAAAATAACTCGCTGTAACTTACTTTTAAGAAGAACTTCGAAGTACTTAAGTAAGCTCCAGCAAATTAATTTTCTTTAAAAGAAAATTTGTCTGCCACACTAAATTTTCTTAAATTAAACGAAGATATTGGAAAAAGGTGATTAATACCGTTGGTCGGGCCTCATCTTCGATACAATCAAATCGTTGGCGAAGAGCGCTTCTGTGCTTCTACTGTACACATAAAATAATAGTGATACATGTAAGCTATTTCAGTCCGTTTTTTTTTACCAAGAACTAATATCGGCTCAAGATTCTTTTAAAATAGTACTTATCTAATTTAATTTTATTTTAAGCTCCAAAGAGGAGTACCACAGTACTTTGTCCAAATCTTCCAACAGTTCGTTGATTAGAGGCATCGGGATACACCATCAGCCTAGTCAGACCATTAACCAGTCGATAGTCAATACACAAGCGTATATCCTCCCAGTTCTTCTTGTTAATGATCACCACAGGTGAAGCCCATGGTGGTGTCGAGAAGCTGATGATCTTGGCTCGCAACATACCCCAAATCAAATCTGATATATTTCCGCGGAATTGGGGTACTACCTTCCGCACCCTCGGAGTAATCAGTTTTGCGTCGCCACCATCGATACTACACTTGACACCGCGCGCTGCTGGTGGTAGCGCATTACCTTTACCATCTAGCAGTTGCCGAGTCTTCCAAACTTTCTGGCGTAGTTGGTCAACTTCCGCGGGTACGTTCGCTCCCGTATCCACCTCGATTTCATCAACCGTCATGCTTAACTTTTTTTATCAAATATTAAACAATACGGCAACACTTTTACTATTCTCCACAATACATGTAAAAAGTTGGCACAGTGTCGATGCGTGCTGAATTTTTGTTTGAGAGAGACGCTATTTAACGTTTTTAAAAAGCGTTTTATTTAAAAATGCCGATTTTTTTTGGACAGATTTTCAATTTCAAACGTGAAAATAATTTTTTTAAAACATTCGTGAAAGAACGTTTTCAGTTCGACAGCCGATGTTTTTAGGATAATACAGTGTGCTTAGTATTGCTCAACCTTTAAGAAGCGACCAGATTACAGCAGCAGCGTTGCTGTTGTCGTTTAAGACTTTTTTCTACTGTGCAAAACATTTACTTCGAAGTTTATTAGTCTGCCGAAGCGATCAACATGTAGATTTCTTTTTTTTCAAATTTGTGTTGCATCACTTTGTTATACCACTGCTGCAAAGTGGACGCGTTGGCGTTGTAAGAGCTTTGTAGCAGCCTGGTCACCTCCACGGCGACAAACTCTGGAAGCAACCAATACAAAAGCTGCAGTCGCGACTATCCCTCCCAAAATAATGGCAGCCGACGCGAACAACAGCGACCCAGCCGAAGAAGATATCGAGCGCTTGATAGCAGAAGGCTCCTTCGACTTCGCTGCCTTGGTGGACGTCACACAGGAGGTGAAATCTGCCACTGTAGACCACCAATACAGAGAGCACAACCACTCCGCTTGGCAGGCAGCATCCAAACATGATGATTGGAGACGCGATTGAGCCTTCGAGTTGAAGTAATATTGTTCCAACAGTTGTGCGTCCGCTGCTGCACGCTCCACAAATCTGGTAATCTCCGATGTGCTCAATGAACTGACGCCATACTCCGTGCTTGCTTGGAAAAGTGACTTCCAACCTACCTTCTGTGTAGCTTCTGAGATGTTGCCACCGTAAACTGTTAAGTCGAGAATGTCATACGTCGTGGAGTTAAAATCCCAGACCATGAAAGCTGGATTGTTAAAGAACAACGGAGAAATTGCCGCCGTCATAAACAGCGGCACGAGTTTCGAGCTGTCCTCATAATTATCATCCACCGTCACTCCGTTCTGTTGGAATTGCGTACTCAAACTGCTGGAAAGAGGCAGTCGGAACTCGATACTGTGCACATGGCCGAAGAATTGTGCCTTAATGATATCGGTGTATTGACTGACGATCTGCTTGTACGTCTTGATGTACGTCTCGTTCCACATAGGTGCTCCAGCATACGAGTCAATAATAGGCGGGATGTGACCAACGATGTAGGCTAACTTGCCAGCATCTCGCAATTCGAACAGCGAGGCATTCAGCCACGCGAACTGCCCGAACGGATCGGGCAAGTTTGACGTATCTGGTTGATGACTTGGCTACGAGAACGAAACGGAATGTTAACTATTGTGAAGTAGAAGTTTCAAAACCGAAGAAACTCACCGAGTACGGAAGTGTGTTCAGTGTGATCACGATAAGATTATCGTCCAGGGCATACGCTAAGTATCCACGGCGGTTGAACCAATCGAGGTTAGACCTGGACATCGTATTGTTCCAAGCCCCGGAAATTAATGAGATCATCGGATTCTCCTCCGTCTCGGGGTCTGTCACGTTCATGGTGTAGTCAGGACCTACACAGAGTCACACAGCCAGTAATCCGTTAGCACTTTACTACTCAACCTCACCCCGACTCAAACTCCACACGCACTTGTGTCAGCATTGCCAATGATCGCCGTGATGTCGAGCGTCGTGGCATTGTCTTCCGTCGAGTAATACTTGGCCATGGTCTCGACGTTCTCCTCGACAGCTTCAGTGAGGTATTCGTTCGACAATTCTCCATGCACCGCATGGTCCCCAGTGTAGAGGAAGAAGTCTGGATCTGGTAGCAGCGTCTTGGCGTAGTCTAGCGCTGACACCAACAAACGTATTGGTGCGTCATCACCATAGGCGACGGGGATCTGAGCCGAGTCGCTGGCGTTCAGTGACTTGGAGATGTTAAGGTGCACGTCCGAGAAGTGCAAAATATGGCGCACAGTAATCTCAACCGTGTTATTCTCATTGATTGTCGATTTTTTATAAGTGATTTCAGCCATGTTGAGTAAGTCAATCGACGAAGTTGAAGCAGTTGAAGTGACTACAGCTCCGATAGTCGCTAATGTCAGCCAAGCAGCGCCGCACATAATGACCACAGAGAACCTCGCTTGCTCTCGATGGTGAGTTTGTCGGAATGAATTCATTTCAACAAGAATCGAGTGCTCGATAGCGCTGGTGCTGGTGTCGTCCTAAGACTTACGGCGCAAAATAGCTGTGATACATGCTACAGTCAAGGTACCTTTGATGCAGCCAGCTCCTGGCACACCAATTAAACATCAAATTCCATCTAAGTTCGATTATTGTCTCTCATGCTATTGGCTAAAGCTCTAATGCGAACCATTGGCTCACGGTCCACGTTAGAGCCGATACTGAAGCGTTGTCGATCATTTCTCAAAGAGGCAAAAAAGCAGAGATGGCGAAGGTCACGAACACCCCCAAGACGGCGGCCGGCAAGGCGGCTGCCAAGCTGTCCAAGAAGGTCATCAAGGGCTCGCACGGCAAGGTGCTGAAGATCCGCACCAAGGTGCACTTCTACAAGCCCAAGACCCTGAGGCTGGCCCGCGCTCCCCTGTACGCCCGCAAGGCCGTGCCGTCGCGCAACAAGCTCGACAAGTACCGCATCATCAAGGCCCCGCTCACCACCGAGTCGGCCATGAAGAAGATTGAGGACAACAACACGCTCGTCTTCCTGGTGGACCTTCTGGCCAACAAGCGCCAGATCAAGGACGCCGTCAAGCAGCTGTACGACATCAAGGTCGCCAAGGTCAACACGCTTATCAGGTACACCACATCGCGTCGAGCTTCGAAGTTGCAGGGCGGAGAGACCATAGAACCCCCTTGAGATGCTGCACGTCTGGCCGTAGTCCTGATAGGGAAGTGCGGTGGCGTGGTCTCTAGGGGCGGCTATAAACGCCGCTCTCCGTCCGACATTGCTGGTTGGGCGATATTCAGAGCAATGTGCTGACTATGTGGTTTATTTTCTTTGTTGTAGACCCGATGGCCAGAAGAAGGCGTACGTTCGCCTGACCGCTGACTACGACGCTCTGGACGTGGCCAACCGCATTGGCGTGATCTAAGCTGTCTAGTTTGACTAGGTAGTGTGTTCGGTCTAGCCGTACTGCGAGGGATCGCTCTTTGCCATCATCTTGAAGAAATAATTAATACATCGTCATCGCACTCTCGCTGAAAGGCTGAGGGAGCGGGCCTTTGTATGCTTATACTTCGCTTTTACCGTTTGTGGTGAGGTGGGGAAATGTTGTTTAACTTCAACAGTGGTGAGACTGTATCGACATCTACTACACGGTTAAGACAGAAGAGAATCAAGTTGTGTAGTTCTATTCCACTAGTCAGCTGTGCACAAAACACAGCTATCGCCATCACACGGTCAATTGTGACTCGCTCGACAGCAGAGATCGAGCGGTGATATCGCCTTCTAAAGCCGTTTCCCAGCTCATTGGAAGATCTTTATTGTACTGTCCGCTCCGCCAGTCGCGATGAAGTTGCGCGACGGGTGGTAAGTCACTGAATGCACGGCTTCGCCCATCTTCGGCCGGTGTGCCTGCACCCACACGAATAAACAGTGTCAATCGCTACAAGCCAAAACACTTTAAAGGTCGTATATCACACCCACCGTTTGCTCAAATACGCAATGTCTGTCCCCAACCGACCAGACACGCAACGAGCCGTCATGACCTGTAAGCGTCGTGCAAGAAGCAGTTAGCGAATGAAAGCGGCGAGCATAGCAGCAAGCAGTCACACATACCTCCGGAAGCAAGATACAACCCCGCTGCGTCGATTGAAAGCGATGTAGCAGAATCCTGGTGAGCAGTAAGAGAGCCGACGCACTCGCCTGTGATATCATTTCACATATACTTGTTAGACTCCAGCAAGCCCCACCAGCACTCTCGTCACACCAGTCTTACCTGCTCGCATGTCGTACAACCGAATTTTTCGGTCTTGGTGAGCTGCAATAGCGATTGGCATCGTTGGGTGCACATTCAGCTGCAACGCGCCAAAAATACCGTGAGTTGCTAAACAGAGCTGAGCTAAGCATATACTACCAGAGCGCGTACCTTATTCACTTGGCCTCCTCGTCCCGTCGTGTCAACGTCAATTGCACGTGTCAACTGAATAACTCGCTCAGTAGCATAGTCGAACTGGGCGATGGATCCATTCGTATACCCAACCACACACGTCTTCGGATCCGTAAGCATCGCGTGCACTGACGTCGGCATCAAAGATCCACTAATGTTTGGACCTGATAAAAGAAATCATCAATTAGATATTGGCTTGAAACGGCGCGTGCTTGAAACTTAGGGCTTACCGGTCCCGTTTGTGTTGGTCTTGCTGGCGCATCGAAGTTCACCCTGGAGCGTAAGCTCTATCGTATCGAATGAAAGAAGTTTGAGCACGTTAAAACCCCTATCGAAACATGGTGCATGTACAACCTCGCATACCTGACATAACTCCCCATGTTCGGACAGCGCCGTCAGCCCCAGCCGAGAATAACGTGTTTGAAAGGGGGTGTGCGTGAAGGTCCCAGATTGCATCGTCGTGAGCATCCTTAATCGAATGCATTTTCATGCCCTCATACTCCTGGTACGTGTATGGCTCGGGCTTATCCGTTTCTGTGCCCGGCAACTGGAATAGGTGCAGCGCTCCATCGCGACCCGCCGATACGAATGATCCTGCTCGGCCAGGTGGACAATCGGAGTTTTCCGCGCTAAACACAGCCAAAGCCAATACGCTCTTTGTGTGCGTCCGCATAGTCACAAGCGAGTCCACCTCGGTTGCTCGCTGCGATGGAGGACCATTAGCGACACTGGACAAATTCCACACCTTCACTGTACAGTCCTCACTACCCGACACCAACAACGGCTCCGTTGGGTGGAATGCAAGCGCTCGCACTCCATCCTGCAGACAACATAGAAAAATACACACATATTTCTGAGAATATTGTACGGCACTAGACGCAATAAGTGTCGTACCATGTGCCCTGACAGCTTCAGCTTCAACTTGTGTGCTCGATAGGACCCTTTGGGTGCAACCGGGATCACTGCTGGCTTCAACGACTTCGTCGTCTCAATAGTACCTGTTAGACACCCAGCAAAAATATCACTTAATAAGCTGAAGCAGCGCAAAGCATTTTCCACCGACGCACGTACGCTCAACGCGTTCCACCTCCCGTCCGGATCCCGAGGCTGATCTGTTCATCTCGCGTTCCACCTCACGTCCTGATCCTGACGCTGACCTATTCATCTCACGCTCCACTTCCCGTCCGGACACAGTCCTGTTCGTCTCGCGCTCGGGTTCTCGTCCCGACGCCGTCCTGGACATCATGCGCGGCCGCGAGATTTCCATGCCCTTACCCTGTGAGTTCTTGGGGGTGCTGGATGCGCTCTTGTTCTTGATATCTGTTCTACCAATGTTGTAAGCCCTGGGGCTGCCGGCGGGCGACGGCGCGGGTGATGGCTGCTCGATGGTGCGTCCAGACTTGGAGCGCGTGACCGTCACGCCGCGCGAGATCTCAGTACTTTCGGTGCTTGGTTTGGTAGAGGATCCTCCCGTGCTAGAAACTGCAGCCGGAGACGCCAAGTAGCGGCCACGTTCCTGTCTCAATGCGAACTCGAGCATCTTGACGCGTAGCATTGCATCCTTGTAGGCCTGTTCCTGCTCGCTTCGTTGATCCTCAAGCTCGCGTACCTGCGCCTGCAACTTCTGGCGCTCCTCATTCCAGTGTGTCTCGTCACTAGCAACGCTCGCAAACTGCCGCTGCAGGTAGCGCAGCGCTGCGTCCACGCTCTCCATGCTCCTCCGCTAAGGGACGTCCAGGGTTTCTCCCCCTCTTCCAGCCTTGAAGGTCGGCTCGCCTGCTTGTGCTAACGCCACATAAAACTAACCATTAAACCCCAGAACCTCGCTCGGTTCTTGAAGTGAGCAACTTCACTTTTACATGTTATGACACCGAATGTGTATCTTACATCGCATGCACACACTCTGCGAATTCCGCATCGGCGGGCGCCATGTTCGAGACGCTGGTGACGGGGCTGCTGACCAGCGCGCTCGGAAACTACATCGATCCTAAATGTTTCAGCAGTGACAAAATCAACGTGGCAGTGTGGTCGGGCTACGTGGTGCTGACGGAGCTGGAGGTGAAGCCCGATGCTGTGGCGGATCTGCCTGCTATCAAGCTCGTACGTGGTCTCGTCGGCTCCATCGAGCTAAAGATCCCGTGGAACCGGCTACAGTCCGACTCGGTGGTGGCCACGGTGGACGATGTGTACTTGCTGCTGCGCACGGAGGAGGATATCGACGCCGTGATGCGACAGATGGACGAGTTCACGCTCAAGAAGAAGGTACTCGAGGAGCTCTACGCACAGGCCAAGCAGCAGGAACAGACGGCCGATGGATCTGACACAGACAGAAGCGAGGACGGATTCGCTGCCAGATTAGTCAATAAGATCATTGATAACTTGGAGCTGCACATTCGCCGTATCCATATTCGAGTGGAGGACCACAGCTCGGGGGAGCATCCGTTCGCCCTGGGACTCACGATTGAGTCAGTACACGTGCAGTCGACAAATTCAAACTGGCAACCGTCGTACGTGGACTCGTCCAAGAGCAACGAGCCGCGGATTTTCAAAATTGTGGAGCTCAATCACTTGAGCGTGTACTGCGATCCGGACTGTGAACTGCAGCGCGACCACAAAATCGACTTTGAGACGTGCTCGGCGGAAGCGTTTTCCAGTGCATTTAGCCGCTCGATCCCGAAGCGGTTTGATGACAGACACTATCATCATATGCAGCTGTACCCGGCTCCACAACAGCACCACTTTATACTGAAGCCCATTGATGCCAGTGCGAGGCTGATTGTGAACCGCGACGTGTTCGATGCAAATGTACCGAAGTTTGAGGTCGATGTGAATGTTTCTGAAGTGGCTTTTCGATTGGAGGAGTCGCAGTACTGCGATATGCTGTACCTGGCGTCTGCACTGCAGATTCCCGACCACTACACGAAGTACCAGCGGTATCGGAAGTTTAGGCCGCAGGCAGCAGTGTTTGATGAGCCTGTAGAATGGTGGAAGTACGCGATCACTTCAGTTATGGAAGACAGGAAAATGAAGAAGCAACAGTGGGCCTGGGGCTTTATGAAGGATCGGCGTGAGGATCGAAAGCACTACGTGAGTTTATGGCAGCAAAAATCACGTCACTTATTGGAGCTGGCAGACGTGGATTATGTTATTTCAGACAGTGAAGACAACGATGACGATAAAAGTGGAGATACGATGGAGGAAGGCGAGGTAAGGGCTGAGTCTACCTCAAACCTGCCAAAGCTGTCGTCTTTTGAGATTGACTCAGGGCTGGAAAAGATTGAACGGCGTCGGAGTGTGGGAGATTTGTTGTTTTTTCGTTACTTAGCCGATCTCGAGGTCCGAAAATTCCAAGCCTTGAGTGCCACTGCTGTTCGACGCCGGTTGCCAACGCCTCCGACGCACAAACCTCAAGGATTTTCGGATACCGACTCGGTAGATACGGAATTCACCGAGTCTAGTGTGCCGGCCGAGGTTCGGTATCGATCATGGGGTGCGTGGATGTTTGGGTGGACGTCGAAGTTGGCTACGCCTTCTGCAGACGGAGACTCAGGCCAAACACCCCAACGGATTATCCCTGAAGTGGAGCTTCGAGAACTGTTCAAGATATTAGAAGAGCCTTCGCGGCGTTCGAAGAAGCGGATGCACAAGCATCGTGATCTGGGTGGGCAGGATGATGCTTTTGAAAGTGAGTCTCAGATGGAACTCAGCGAGCTTTATCGAATCACTGTGACTTTGCAGCGTGGATCTCTCACCCTAGCAAGTGACCCAGAAACAAATACAACGCTGCTCCGCGATGACCCAAGCTACGGGCGAAAGTACGCTCCTACTGACTTCCTACTTGGGACTTTTTCTCAGTTGCAAGTGGCTGCAGTGGCGAAGGATGAAACAGTGGTTGTGGATGTGTCATTGCAATCTATTGAGGCATTCGATGAAAGCGCAGAAAGCTCAGCATTTTCTCGCCTTCTTAGTAGAAAGCAGATCATTCACTCGACTGGCGATGGAGACGACGTCAACGTTAGCAAACTGTCTGGTGTTGTATTCCTGATGAGTATTGAGATAAATCCGCCAAATTCTAGCGCAGATGCTTCATTGTTTATTCATATGGAGCCTCTGGAAATCGTCTTGTCACCCACAGCACGGTGCTGGGGCCGCTTGACGAAGTTTATGGACACTCCTGCGGGCTTGGAATTATGGGAAGAGCTAGAAGTCGCGTCATTCAATGACATCGTCAATTTTAAGACTCGGACCGAAGCTAAACTGGATTACGTGATGGAGAATCGAATTGCACTCGCCGTGGACCTCCGTATTCAGGCACCAGTCATCATTATCCCGGAGAGTGACACCGACTTTAACTGTGCTCGTCTCGTGGTTGATCTAGGACGAATTAATTTTCGGACCGATCGTCTTGGTCAAATGGACAGTGAGCGTGTGAACATGAGCTCGACTGGTGGCCCGCCATCGAGTAGGTCGGGATCAGGATCCCTAACACTCCACAGTCCATCTCAGTTCCGAGGTGTAAACTCGAACACGTCATTTGTCCAGCAGTTATATGATGAAGCGGAGAGGGGAGAGGGAGCTATTCGCTGGAAGGAGGAGTTTTACGACAAATTCAGCCTATCTGTGGCTAACATTCACGTGTTGTTGATTCCTCATGGGAAGACGAGTCGAGCTCAAGACAGTGATGCTGGAAGCAGCGGAATCAACTATCCATCGGCTTCCCTTCCGCCGTATCTTGCGAATATTTATGATGAGGAGCAAGAGTACGAGTTAGTTGAGCGCTTCAACATCAACGTCACCGTTCGAATGTCAATTCTGCCGCTTGATGCGACCCTGACACGATTTTACGTCCATGCAGACCTCCCAGCGTTAACGTTCAATTTGTCTCTCGAAAAGTACTTCCAGTTGGTAACTCTGACTGATCGCTTCAGCTTGGCAAACGCTGAGCTACCGAAAAAGTCACAGAAGTTCTCGGATGGAGGGTTGTATTCGCTAGATGAAGTTTATGGAAATGCTCATGCGGGTATGTTAAATCCGGACGACAGATATGAGGCCATGAGAAGTGGGAGTTATCTCAGCACGTCAGCACTAAAGCAGTTCGTGCTCAATGATACCGAAAGCTCCCCGCCATCTGTTACAGGTGCATCGCCTGGTGATGCAAGAGACTCGGACGAAAATTCGAGCGTTGAAAGTGACGACACGTGGTTTAGCATCACTAGTGGCAACCTGGATCAAAATGCTTTCGCGTTAAACGATGGCGCAGACGAACTGGAACCAAGACTTTCTATGTCTGATATCACTGATTCTACTGCGACTGACCATAGTATCAGTAGCGTTTCTTCACGATCAGAGAGGAGAAGTCGAAAGAGACCTCGGCCAGATATGCCTGGCGGAACAACGAAGCTTCTCGATCGACGATTAATGGTGTGCTCCTTCACTATTCCTCTGATATCGGTGGAGCTGAAGAAGCCTCGGTCTTCTGCAGTGTCTTCGTATGCTTCCTACCGCTACGATACGAGTGATTTTGATGATGATCCTACCGACAATGGTTCCATTCTGGTGAAGCTGCAAGGTTTTCGAATCCGGGTTGGCCAAAAGACTTTGTCAACCCAATTGAACATGAGCTTGATGTCGCTTGAGGTTGAAGACTTTATTGATGCTACTGGTCGGTCAACACAGTATTTGCTGTTCTCGTGTCCGACGATTGCTGCTCCGTTTTCGATAAAAGCACCGTTGCGCCGAGGTGGGAAGTTTCCTGGTTACTCTACCCAACGCCGGCGACCAACAAGGCAACGAGAACGAGTAATTTCTTTCCGACCTGGTGGCACGAAAGGAAGCGATGGGTCGCGATCGAGAGCACCAGAGACGTTGTTAGAACTTGGCTTCAGCTCCGTAAACGATCAAAAGAGCGGTAAAGAGGTACTCCGGGACGTGGATGTTCAACTCGGCTCGGTGCAATTCAACTTCGACCAGTCATACGTCTGCTCACTATTGGATTTGTTCGAGGAATCATCTTCTCAACTTGCTCTGGTTCCTGTATCTTCTCGAGGCGGTGTCGGTGTCGGTGATATTGGCCCAGATGACGGTGTTCCGCCTCCTTTCGAGCTCACACCAACTATTAAGCAAGAGTACCCGATGTCGGTAAACCTGACGGAGTCTGTTCGTGCAGATCTGGAGCTGGCCAGAAAGAATCTGTTTGAGCAGCGACCGAATGATCGTGAATCACCCACGCTGGACGGTGGAAGAAACCGTGCTCCTGTCGCGCTGAAACTGGGTGTCCGACTCCACTCAGTTTCTGTATGCTTCTCCGATCGTGGAGAATCTGTAGCGTCCGTTGCGGTTCTTGATTCCCGAGTTCAGGTTGGCACAGGGGAGGCGAGTCAGATAAATGTGTCGTGTTTGATCGGCGATGTGAAAGTGTTTGATCTATCCTCAAAGAAGCTTCAAGATGATGATTTTGGGATCAGTGGCGCTGCAATGCGCGGGTTTGAGACCTCATCATCAGACTACATAGAGATATTTGGATTGGATACTTCTGCGGTGTTTTCGACGGATGAAACGAGTCCTCTGTTGAGCGTCGAGTGCTCAATCTCTGCAGAGACGGAACCGAAGTCAGTGAACATTGCGGAGGGCGACCACCATGATAAATCCAGCCTTTGCTTGTCAGTGCAACCTGTTCGTCTGCTAGCACAACCCGAATTTGTGGAAAGTCTTGCAAACTATGTTGTTGATGGACCCCTCCGAACCCGCTTTCAGCCGAAGCATGCTGATTTGGGAGAAGAACGCGAGCATAAGCGCACAGTCTCGTTGGGCTCCGAGTTTCAGTTAGCTCCACGTTTTTCTCCGGTTTCTGATCAGCCGCCAGGTAGTGTGACTCCGTTTTTTGATGCCGTGGATGCCTCGAACCGGGAAGCTAGACAATTCAACTTTGAAGCGTCAAGTCCAGACACCCCTCTGCGTGGTGATGATGGCGAAGGCGACGATGCCGACAAGCGAAGCAACCACTGCAATGATTCTGCAGAGGGAAACGGCGTGGCGTTTATCCTTGCCGGCATTCTTGACAACTATGACCTGGACATCAAGCTCTTTCACCCGCATATTGTCCTTCCCTCGACTCATATACAAGTGTCGCTGCAATCGCAGCCGTACCGAGGTATCGTATTAGACTTCGGGACGATAGCAATAACATTGCGGCGGGAAGTGTCTGAAGCTTTACGTGGGGCTCCTGAACGTGCACCGTACCAAGCCACTGTTGCTGTTAACAGCTTACAGATTACCTCCCTTGCGGACCAAACTGCAATCCTTGACCGATCGGGCTTCCAAGTGCGATGCAATGTTCCTGCGCTGGCGCTGGAAAAGAATCTTGACGATGGAGAACACAGAAGCGCCGCTGGAGGTATTGCTGTAGATGTGAATGTTTACCCTGTCTGCATCAATGTCAGCGAAACGAATGTGCAGTTGACGCTGGAAGTCTTTTACGAAGCGATTATTCCGGTGTTTGATACCGTGCAAGGAGTACTTCATCAGATTGAAAGCTCTGAGGCCGCGTCGACGGTAGACACAACTAGTCTACCCGAAGGCCTGCAAGGAGAAGATAGTGTTTTGGAATCTGCGGCTGTTGATTCGGCGAAATGGGGGCAACTAACAGTTGACTTCTTTCTTGAAGAATTCAAGGTTGCTCTTATCTCGTATTCGGAGGCGCCTCACCAATTTGAGACGTGGATGAAAAGTGTACTTGATATCCCTGACGAGATATCGTCACGTGAGAGCAGTGGTGGAGCTTCATCTGCAACTCTGGGACGCGCGTATCCGCAGCATTTTATGGGGCGGCGAGGGAGTTTTCCGAACGAGATTCCGTGTTGTGTGATTGGTGAGCTTGCTTTGGTTGCGTTCGGGGCAAACGTGACTCTGAGTTTGAAGGATACTCCCTTGGACAACAGCGAAGCACAGGTTCAATGTGAATTTTCTTTACAAGAAGCTGTCATCCGTGACAAAATTGCTGATTCCAAGGTACGTGATAAATGAGCGTGTGTATCTATTCCTACCGAGGTGTTTAATGCTAACGTTGTCCTATTTGTAGGAGTTCTTGACTCACTTATTTGGGCCTGTCCCTGGAGATAGTTTGGAACGCACAGATTCTCGTACTTCTATTGCGTCTGATAACTCTTCGTTTTCGTTTTTACCGCGGGATGAAGTGTTTCCAGCATTACTCCACCCTTCAGCGTCGCAATTGTCAAGGCTAGACGTATCGTCATCGCAACTGAGTGGGCGATTACTGAGCAAACAGTGCGATGCAGGTGAGAGCGGATCTGCTGTCACGATGAATTCCTTGGAACTATCTGTATCGTCGGCGCGCTTCGTTCTTCTTCCGCGAACAATGCTCCGACTGGAGCACTTTGTGCTTGACGTGTTCTTGGCGGCTAACAAGAAATGGAGCGAACTGGAGCTGCAACGAGATGAGGCAATGGCTAATAATCCTAGAGTTGGGAATGCTGCATTCGGTGATGCTGAGCCTGAGGATAACCGAGGGCAGGAAACGCGCTTTTCTGTGCCCCCCCTCCGACCAAGAACTGACAGCATAACTGAGTCGCTGAAAGACGATCTCAATGCAGTTCGATCTGCATTTATGTCTCCGTTGCAGCGCATGTTGAGTTCGACCAGCGCGAAAGATGGCCGCCCACCTGAAAGTTTCACATCTCGTGTGATTGCAGAGGAAACAGGATGCGCAACGTCTGTAGCTTCGAAAACGGCTCCTTTATCGGCGGACAAAACACACGAAGGAAAGCGGCTTGTGATCCCGCAATGGAAAGTTGATGCACGATTCTCAAATTTGCAGCTATGGTTGGTATCAACGGATCGCAAGACAGACGTGGCTGGATGTGTGCTTTCCAGTGCATTTGTCGCTAAGTTTGACAGCGCGCTTGAAGGAGGTGAATTATCGAGCTCTTCGGAAACTTGTGACCTTGTGGCGGCGTCAGTTCGGTTAAACAAAGTAGAGGTACTGGTTGGCTCGCCGGCGGCCAGCGATGCCGATCAACTGAAGCCAACGCATCACACAGGAACGCTGGTCGAGAGCTTCGAAGTCGATGTGCAATTCGCTCTTCACCAGTGCTTTCGACCTACACTTGAAGAGGCCATCGACCCGGAGAGCAATGATGAAAACGCTGGCTCGAAGAGTGGAGGCGTGGAAACCGAAGATGAGGCAATCGAGACTAGCGATGATGATATCAAAGCAGGGTTGGCAACGCCTATCGACAAAACTGACAGCACGGCGGTAGATTTGCCGGAACTATTTCTTCGAGACGTTCCATCAGAGTGGCATCAGTGGATTCTTAGTGAGCCGACTGTGCGTATTGACCAGATCAGTTCACATATTGCGTACCGAGACCTACCGCTGTTGTTGAAGATTGCTGCGAGCTTGACCAGTATGCTGGGTGCAGAGAAAAAGATTCGCAATACTTTCATCGCGCGACTGAAAGCAGCGTCGGATGACCTCGACTGGCCCGATTTACCGGATGCGACAGGGGATTATTCTGAATATGCTCACTACTTCGGTGCCGATGACATGAGCGATTCTCAAACAGCCGGAGAAGATGCTTTCTCTGTGGCCCAGCATGATGTACTTACACGCGCGTCGATAGTTGCGGGAGGTATTCAATTCCGATTGATTAACAACATCGTAGACCAGGCGTCACCAGTTGTCGAGCTCAACTCGAAGGATATTGAGTTTCTCCTCCGAGTAGAGTCAAACTCGATGACAGAAGTCATCGCGTGTTGCAAAGCTGAAGCGAAGTACCAAAATCTGCGTCTTGTAACGATGGAGCCACTTGTAGAACCTTGGAGCGTTAAGATGGCGCTTTCCCAGCAACAATTACGCATACGCAGTTTGGACGATAAGGAGCTGCTAACACAGTCACCTTGGAAGCTGGACATTTCATCGGATGTATTTCTTCAACTGAATTTGACTGATGCGCTGATTGCCAATCTGGTGGCTGCGGACCGAGCTTGGCGATGGGTTGTCAACGCTGGTGGCGATTCACGCGAAATGACCGAGTATTCCACGTACTGGATCCGAAACAATACTGGAATGCCTTTACGCTATTGGGGTGCGTCATGCAACGAACATTTTATCGCTCCTGGTCAAGAGGAGCCACTCCGTTTCAACAAACTGGAACCGGACAACGAAACAAGAGAAGGTAGCAGAAAACGCCGAAAAGGTGCGCGACGCAATCCGCACGTTAGCGAGCGCCAGCTCTTTATTGCCGTCGAGGAGGAGTATCCAAGCGACAGCTTGTCCAATATTTCAAGGAAATGGCAAAGTGAAGCACCTATTCCAGTTGACCAAGTTGATTCGCGTATGTATGCTCTAGTGGACTTCGAAGCGGATTTTACGGCAACTCGAATGAGGAAGTGTGAGTGCGTCATTGACGTGCTTGTTGAGCGTGGATGCAAATATTTTGTGGTGCGCTCGACACTGAATTTGGAGAACCAAACGTCTTCCGACCTAGAAGTCGAGTTTGTTCCTCCTCAGCGCCGTTCGCTGAGAGGAGGGGTTACCTCACAAGGGATTACTTTGCCGATCTGGAAGAAGGTGGTCAAGGCTTCGTCTGTTGTTCCTGTTCCGGTGCATATTGTGTCATCCGGTGAAGGATACGTGATGGTGCGTCCTCCAGAGGTCAAGGCGACCGATGGTGGAGAAGGCAGCGGATTACTGCCAAAGGCCTACGCTAAAGAACGGGTGCAACTCCCGCTATTCGACCGAGGGAGCTCTTCTGCTAACGAGACCATGACGCAGATGGAAACCGATGAATCTGGTCAAGCTCAGTGCACGATCAAATTTCGACGATTGTATAGCGATCGCCCTGTGCGTCCATTCATGATGAACGTGTGCCTCTCTAACGTGAGTAGTGCACTGTACCACCGAACGCTGTCTTTCCACCCGCCGCTGATCGTGCATAATCTAACAGCCGGGCCGCTAGATTTCTGCTTGGCAACTCCAAATGATTGGTCGCCTGCAGTGGAAGCTGTGACGCTGACGAACGCTGCAATGAACGCCGGATGGGAAACTCGCGAGCAGCGTCTGCGTGAGCGAGGAACTATCAACGTTGCCGATTCGCTAATTTGGCACGTGTCGAGTGAGGAAACGCCTCTCGAACTGAGTGTCCGAATGAAGGGATTCGACTGGAGCGAGCCGCTCGAGCTCGTGGAAGATTTAGGCGATGTTGTCCGGATCAAGATGAAAGATCTCGTGAGTGACGCACACCTTTATATTACTGCAGAAATTCGGATGAGCAGAGGTCACTGTCGTGAGCTGTTCCTATATGTGCCTTACTGGATTGTCAACCTGACGGGCCTGAAACTGGAATACGAATATGAGGAAGAACGGATGGGCCGCGAGCACTCTACCGCGTACGTCCACTACTTTTGACAATTACTATGCTGATTGATGACTAACTTCTATCTATGTGATTAGTTTGCTGGCAGGGCAGAAGCGACTAGATCGTGACGAGATTCTACTGAAAGAGAACCAAAGAGCCAAGGCGACCCGGCGAGATCGCAATCCTCATCTTCTTGGCCCTGTTCCAAGTGAAGACGGTGATGAGGTGCGGAACTATGCGCAACAAACTGGTCGCAGTGCTTCTCGTGAGAATGAGAACAAAAGACGACATCCGAGACTTCTGCCAAGTGTGCCTCCTGTAAAGGGCTTGCTGGATCTTCTCCCGAAGACCATCGAGTATGATCCACGTAGTCTTGGGCAACTGGAAGTTCTGCAAACGTGCCATTCCGACTACACGATGGACCGTGGTTGCGTCCGTTTACGAGTCAGCAACGAAAGAGATGCTGCGGCTTTGGATGCGAGAAAGGAGAGTGGACAACGGAAATGGTCTGACCCCTTTGTGTTGGACCAAGCGGGTACGATTGGTGAGATTCAAGCAGATGACTTCGGAGCAAACAAAAGGTTTAGCATCGGCTACTCGATAACTCCAGCAAAGGGCGTGTATTCACGAACAAAGGTAATCATGCTGACGCCGCGGTTCATGCTGATCAACACGATGGGTAGTGCAGTCGAGGTGTGTCATTCGTCGTCTAAGATGATGACTCCATCGGTGATTGACATGGCCAATGCCAGTGGCTCCATGCCGAACTCCCGAGTGATGTCTCCTGTAAATCCTGTAGTCCAGCTAGAAGCTGGAGCGTTTGCCGACTTCCACTGGACACTTCGCTTCGCCAAGACGCGCACGATTCGTTGTCGCTTTGCAGAATATGGCTGGTCATGGAGTGGTGCCGTTCCTTTAGTGGAGTCTGGCGAATACGCTGTTCGTATGCGTCACGAGTCGACCCGGGAAAGCAAACTTGTGCGCGTTACCCTGAAGCTAGACTCATCGTGTATATGCGTGTACTTCCGAGAAGAACGTACGTCTGCGCCGCCGTATCGAGTGGAAAACTATTCGTTGGAAACGCTTCGAACGCACCAACACCGTGTGCGCCGCAGTGAGATTTTATTGCCTCACCACAGCCTGGATTATGCGTGGGACGAACCTACCGAAGAACGTTTGCTTGTCGTCGATATGCTTCCGTCAGCAGCTGGCGACAACAGTCGGCCTTTGCGCATTGGAAGCTTCGACCTGGATAAAATCCAGCGTTACTCTGATGCACTTGGCGGCACTCTGGGCATTGAGATCTCCACGGATGGACCAACTCGCGTGCTACGTTTCACTGATACGCGATTACGTGGGGAGAAGGCTGCACCAGCCAATACCCAAGTGTCTAACGATCAGTCAGCAAAGACTGAAGCGACTGAGAGCAGCGCCCTGCAGCTACTTCAACGCTTTGTTACAGCTCCTACCATTCAGGCAGCGCTACGCCTGCAAGGTGTCGGTCTTTCGATCGTCGACAGTGTTCCAAAAGAGCTGGTGTACATGTCGGTCTCTGGAATTGCACTAGAGGTTCTTGTCTCTGAAGTTGAACGGAACAACAACGGGGCATCTATCGCAGGAAGCGCTGCGTCGTTGTCACGGCTCGAGCGCGAGACCCAGCCACGAATTCTTGCATGCTGCCTTGAGGTGAACGACGTCCAAGTTGACAACCAGCTGCAAGTAACTCCGTATCCTGTGCTTCTTCGCTTCTCGAATCCAAGCGGTAGATCTCGAATTGTGAATGGACAAACGGTAAACATTCCTGTGCTCCAGGTGGGCCTCGTGAAGCACGACGAGTATGCCGGCATCGAATTTATCAGGCATTTCAGCGTCAGTGTTTTGCCGGTGCACATTCGCGTGGACGGTGCGCTGCTCTATCAGATACTCCCACTTTTGGTGCACGCCAAAATTTATGGCAGCAGCGGAAATGCAGACGCGGCGGCCAAAAAGCGAGCTGTTGTGTTGATGAACGGCGTCAGTAGCAACGACCAGACCACTCGAGCTGCGCACAGCCATTTGCTACTAAATGACTTCAATTCCAGTCTGGAAATACCGGTGAAGGTGCTCGAGGTAGCCCAGAAAGACGGCACCACGTCGGCGGGACCTACTTCTGGACCGACAACGCCTACGATGAAAATGATTACGCGCAGAAACAGCGCTCAGCAGCAACAGCAACTGATCAGCCCACGTCATAATCACCACACGGCTTTGGCTGCGGAGATCCAGCGCTACACGGCTGTCAAGTACGGGACTCTTGGTGCTCTTGCTGCGAAGGAAGAGCAGACAAAGCTTTACTTCGAAGAGTTCCACATCGACCCCATTCGTGCTACAGTCAGTTTTTCGTTTGGTGACAGTGCCGGTGCCATTGTGGACGGCCACTCGTCGTCACTGTCACATGCTGCAGCATTGACCGATTCATCGTCGTCGCGAGAATCTTCTGTGATCACGGTTGGCCCTCTTCGGCTCATTTTGAATGCTATCGGAACAAGTCTGACTAAGATCGCGAACGCCCCGTTCCAGCTGAAGGCGCTGCACATTCACAATTCCTTTGTCCAGCCCGATGCGTTGGCTACACGATTGGCGTCGCATTACCAGAGTGAGGCGCTGCGTCAGGCTTATGTCATCCTGGGAAGCGTTGACGTGCTAGGCAACCCAATGATCGCATGGAAGAATTTGCGCAGTGGCTTCCAGGACTTCATCTCGGAGCCAGCGCATGGGCTTTCACAGCGAAGCCCACAGGCATTCGCTTTCGGCGTGGGACGTGGTTCACTGTCGCTTGTGCGTGCGTCCGTGTACACCTTCCTGGATTTTAACACGCGTATTCTGACGGCCTTTTCGCTAGGTCTGTCAGAGGCTTGTTTGAAGCTGGACGACTACACTGGTTACCCCGCAACACGGCATATCTTCCAGGGTCTCGTGCAAGGTGTCTCAGGAGTCGTGGTGGCTCCAATTCACTCGTTTGAGGTCAACGGCGCTCGTGGTGTGTTTCCTGGCCTGATGGCGGGTGCATTCGGTCTCGTGCTTAAGCCGCTTCTTGGCTTCTCTCTGGCGACAGCAACGACCGCGGCAACTCTACGCGATGCCATTGATCCGAACACCAAGGCTCTACTTGTACGTGTCCGGCCGCCACGCCACATCGATCTGCGGACGAAGCGACTTAAAGTCTATTCGTATGTGGAGTCGTTGGGTGAGGAGATCGTGGGCAAGATCCGCGGCGGTCGGTATCGTGCAGATGGATATCTGGGGCATGTCGACCTCAAGGCGACTCACCAGTGCTTTTTGGTAACTCGTAAGCGGATCTTGTTCCTCAATGTGAAGGGCACAGCTTCCGCCCAAACGACCAAGTACGAAGTGGAGTGGGAACTGTTAGCTGAAGAAGTGGTGATGGTGGATTGCTCCAGGACGCCAGACGAACAGATTGTTACCATTTATTACATGGAAGACGAGTTCCGCACAGCAAGTGGTGCGGGGAGAAGTGCATCTGCAGCAAACGGATCTAATGCCATGACCACCAGCCGTCGACGGACAACAGGTACACCACGTGGAATGTTTTTGCAGAAGCACGAGGTGGCGCTGCCGGACACGAAGGTTCTGTTTGTTCGGGCCATGTTGCAGCAGCAGGAGCGCTCCTTGCTGACGAAGATGAATTGCAACACGAGGGATGGCTCACCACACCATGCGCCTGCAGTGGCTAGGACAAGCTCGATAGAGTTGAACACACCGTGGCAGCCTCAACACTCGTATATGCCGTTGGAGTACCCGATTTTCCGTCTGCCGCCATCACTGCACCACACTCGCAGTTTCGCAAACCTTGCGCAGATGTCGCCGTCACACAATCAATAGCCGAGTGGGCATAGGTATGTGAATACATGTAGCTAGCTAGATGTATTTAATTGTTTCTGGCATCAGAGCTGTGCAGTCCATTTTCCTTCAGCTTTATGACCCGCACTTCATTTATCCTCTTCGACCTGAGCCTCTTCTACTGATAATCTGTCTCCCTCGTGCTTGCGCTGGGCATCCCACATCCCAGCGTAGATACTATCGCGCTGTCCCACGAGCTCATCGTGAGTGCCACGCTCAGCGATAACACCATCCTGCATGACAATGATCTGGTGTGCGTTGCGAATCTGCAGCCAACAAGATGAGTCAATGCATACCTCACGTAAATAAATATTAAAAAAACGCGCAACGTACCGTGGACAGACGATGAGCGATAACCAGCATAGTCCGATTAGCCTTAAGGCGATTGAGAGCCGCCTGGATCTCCTGCTCCGTGACCGTGTCGAGTGCTGAAGTAGCCTCATCCAGAATGACAAAAGGCGGGTCCTTCAGTAACGTACGCGCAATGGCAACTCGCTGCTTTTCACCGCCGGAAAGCTTTAGTCCACGCTCGCCCACCTTCGTGTTCCATTGATCTGGGAGCTTCATGATAAAATCATAGATGCGAGCGGCCTTGGCGGCGTCGACGACCTGGTCAAACGTCGCATTTAGGTTACCATACTTGATGTTGCGGAGAATGGTGTCATTGAAAAGCACAGTATCCTGGGGAACAATACCAATGGCTTGGCGTAGCGACTGCTGCGTTACCGTGGCAATGTTGTGGCGGTTCACTAAAATCTTTCCAGTATTGCATTCGTAAAAGCGGAAGAGCAGTCGTGAAATTGTGGTCTTGCCGGCACCAGTCTCACCAACAAGAGCTGTAGTCGTGCCACGCGGAATGGTGAAGTTCAGGTCCTTGACCCCCGTAGTGGCTGGCTGCGAAGGGTAATGGAAAGACACGTGACGGAACGCCACGTCAATGCCATTCTCCGAATCGTATTTGCAGACGCCGAGCTCTACCGCATCGGGCGAGTCAGCAATATCTGGCTCCACCGAAAGCAACTCACTCAACTTCTTCATGTCGACAACCGAGTTGATCACCATATTGTAGATACCACCCAGGAAAAACAGCGGCGCGAAAAGGTTCGTGAGGTACACGGAGATGGCAACGAAAGCTCCGATATCAATTCTGCGTCCACTGTCCTCACTCACCACATGTGGCGCTGCTAGGGCAAGTGCCCCCAAGACGGTAGCCTGGATGATGATAGCTTGGGTTCCATTCAACACACTAAGCGACGCCTGCACTGATACTGAATAACGCTGGTACTTCTCGATCACCTTGGAGTATTCCTCGACTTCGTGTCGCTCGTTTCCAAAGTACTTGATGGTCTCGTAGTTCAGCAGCGCATCTGTAGCCTTGTCATGGTACTCGTTGTCATGGCGCATCGAAGCCTCGCGGTATTTCTTACGCCAGAGTGTGATTTTAATAGTGACGTAAGCATAAATCACCAACGTGGTGAACGCCACGTAGCTCAGTCCGGCCAGTTCGAAATGCATCGCAAAGATCACGATCACCACGCCAGACTCCGCCAGGGTCGGTATCAGGTACAGAAACACATACGACACAACGCTGTTCGCGGATTCCACTCCACGGTCCATCGAGCGCAACACATCGCCCAGTTTCTTTTGCACGTGCCAGTCGTACGAAAGAGACTGCACGTGCTCATACGTCAGCGTAGCCAGCTCAATATATGCCGTCTGCTTCACCTTGAGGTAAATCAGCGACTGCAGTTCCTTGAATAACTTGGACACGAGCGTCAAAAAGCTGAAAATGGCGATATCTCGAATCGCACCGCTAGTATCTTTGGCCACCAGCGCGTTCGTGGCCGATGCCATAAAAAGCGGGGCAGCCAGATTCGCCAGCTTGCTGAGAATTAGCACCAGGTACGTACTTGCAGCACGCAGCTTGTTGGCAAACCCATGTGGCCAAAAGTATGGCTTTAAGATGTACACGAGCTTCACGAACGAGATCCCACGAGGCTTCGCAGGGTCCGTCGACTTGTCAGCAGCCACTTGGGGCAGCGCTTCACTCTCTGCTGGCGCTGGAGTCCGGATCGAGTCTAGTAAGTAGCTCAAGTTGACTACTTCGAGTACAGTGAAGATCAATGGCAGCGAGTTGGCCACATTAGCGTCCACTAGAGCCTGTTTCTCCTCATCCAGACGCGAAATAGCGTCCAACTTGAAAGCGTCCACCGCCAAGACACCCAGAAAGGCAAGGCAGAAAACATTGACGAGCCACGTGACCGCGCGTGCGTCAGGCCAACGCGTCGCCAGCAGGAACAACACGCTCTTGATCAGCGTGGCCCAGACGGGCAGCCCCCAGAAGCGCCATTGAGGCTGTTGCACGTCCAGTAGCCACCCTAGTCGCGTGAAGGCTGAGCCTCCGAGACTCAAGCTGCAGACTACGAGTAGACTGGCCAAGTCCCAGGCTAGCAGTAGCAATAGACTGAACTGCATACACAGCATTTGACGCTGGGCCGACTTGCGTCTCCGCTTGGGGGACAGCGGATCTCCACTTCTGCTGTCGTCGTCCGCATCGTCGTCCCGCCAACGCGAGAACGTGTTTTTCTTCTCCTTAGCATCCACACGCTCTGTCGTCTTGCCCAACAACGGGGCCGCTTCCTGCGACGTCATACTGATGCACACGTCACTAAGATGGAAACTGAAGCGCCCAAGTCCGCCATAACTGACGGATCGCGTTTCGACCAATGAGACATCTCCGATCATGATTGACGTAACATTAAAAATGCTTTTTATGCTTTTTAAAGCTTTAATTTAAAAAAGTTCAAAGAATGACGGTCAGAGTGCGCGTACGGTATTGTTGTACTGTACGACCACGTCGAACACAACCAAAATAGTACGCACATCAGAAACTTGCATTTGGAAGGTTAAATAAGGGGCTGCGGCTAATATGTCAGCAGTGACGACGACAAGGGGGGGGGCTTACACGGTCAGGTCTTCTATCCCCGACGAGCTGCAGCGCTCGATGCGTGTGACGTCCCAGTCACGATCATCTGTCGGCGAGAAGCTGTGCACCGCCGCTGCCAGCGTCTGAGGAGAGAAATACACGGGCGTGGACGTGGGCGACACAACAGGCGAGCCGTCTGAAAGCGAGGCCTGGCGTCTGGCATCCACCTCGAGGTTATGCTGCGGGTGTTTACTCACGAGCTTGTCCAACGCCTGTCGCATCATTCGAACAGCGTTTTCTTTCGCTGGATCGCTGGATCGTCGCTCTTGCAGGATACGAAGCACGTTCTCGTGGCTCTGAATGGAGATTAACAACGCTTCCGAGAACGCAGCCATGTCAATATCTCCCAGATCCAAGTCTTCGACGGGAGTGGCCACAAAGTTTGCCAGATAGACGTCGTGTAGGACCAGCACATCTGCGAGTTCCGGATACTGATACCGGAACGAGTCAGCTGCCACAAAGTGCTCCGGGTTCCAGCGAGGCCACGTCTTCGCAGCGGCTGCCGCTCTCACCTTCGCAAGCTCAGTGGCAATACACGTTTGCAGTCTCTGCCTCATACTGACAGTCCAGATGAGTGTCGCGGTGCTAATATCTTCGGTAGTCTGTAGCTCGAGGATAAACTGATCCGGAGATGCACGCAGCAGCTGTACAGTAACGAAAGTGCAGTTAGTTCAGCTCCCAGCCCTCGTACGCCAGAGGTATCGATTAACGTACCCGAACAAAGCTCGGTGTTAGCAGCTGATACAGCACTTGGGTCGGCAGTGAAGGCACGGGGGCATTCTTTGGTCCCAGACACGCTCGTAGCACCAACGCAGCGCTTCGAATCGCACCGAAGAATCGTGACGGGATCCTCTGAATCTCCCCACCGCTCTCATCTTCGTTACCTGAGGCGTCCTTATGGTTGTCTTCGCTACTGACTTCTTTATCGCCATTGAGCAGCTCAGCTTTAGCAGCTTCTTCGTGTCCATCTTCCGTATCGGATGTGTCCGATTCACTGCGTTCATCGGTGCCTTGGGATTCTGTTGCAGCACTTTTGTCAAGCTCTTCTGCGGGACAAAACGCCACCGTATCCAGAAGTGACAGCAGTCCACCGGCATTAATCACGAGTGCACGAAGCTCATCGTAGTGACACAGTCCACCTAGACAACTCAAACAAACACTCGCGGCGTCGATGTCCGCGTATTGCGTGATGATCTGACGAGACGCGAGCTCGATCAACGCCGTCACCACCTCCGGATTCTTCGTGATAGCGCGAATTCCTGCCGCTTGTTGACTCGCCAGAATAGACAGCACATCTGTCAAGCGATACAAAAGCACACGCGCCATGCTCTGATTGCTTGAGCTGCTTCGCCGACGCGTACCAAACACTTCCACTGTCTGTAATATTTGCTGGAATGAAGGGGTGCGCATCCGCTCAAGGGCGTCGGCTATCACGCTCAAACCTTTTTCCTCCATGAACAATCGACACGCAGCAGTGTTGACGCTGCGTGTATCCGGAGCAGACATCACTGCAGCAAACAGCTCCAGCGACAAGATCCCGCGTACTTGATCCACTTCACTAAGCATCGAGCGACGTAGAGGAGCCAGCAAAGCCTCGTAGAACTCGCTCTGAATCTTGACTTGGGCACCATGCGACGGAAGGAGCCGTGCTAAGGCCTTGAGGATTAACACTTGCACCTCCCACGACTCAGCTGCACACGGACCGCCACTGCTTGATGACTGAATGAGAGATGGTTGGTGTGATGGCGAGGGTAATGGCCCAATACTTCCAGTCCCGCTGGTGTACGCAGACTTTCTGCGGCCAAGCTGTACCAGTTCCTCAAACAGCGCATTAATCAATTCGCCAAACATTTCGGGGGTCCAGTCACTCAAGAATTCCCCACCACCTTCAATGTAGGACCGCAAAAAGATGTTTCCAATGAACAGATCATCATCCTCGTAGCGGTGGTCAGCGTCGCCATCTACGAAGTTACTCCAGGACGTTGTCTTGGACTCAGACCCCAAGTATTTGTGCTTCAGATACCGATACAGTCGCACACGCTGCTTTCGACCCCAGTTCACATCTGCTGCTCGCTTCTGAGACGCGTTAAACGTGTCTGCAAACACTTCCGAGCTGGCTGAATGTAGCAATCGTTCCATGCCACAACCACCAAATCCAAGAGCTTCATTCAGCAACTCGCTTAGTTCGTTGGACGAGGAAAAGCTCTTTGCTCCACCAGCGCCGCGTGAGCTTGGATGCAACACACAGCATTCCTTTAGAAATTCAGCAGCAGCCACACATATACCCATGCCCTTGGGATCGCAGCTTGCTAAAAGCACATACACCAGCGTGAGCGACCTCCAGTTGTTGTCCGTAGTTGAGCTCGAGTGCGACGACGCCGAAGTAGAAGGCGACGAAGCTGATGAGCGGTAACTAGACACTTCACGAGATCCAATCGAGCTACTGCAGTCGCTGTTGCCGTCCAGAAGTGCCAGTTGCTTCAACACAAATAGTAGTCGAGTGATAGTCACATGATCCAGTGTTTCCACCGCCAGTAGTCGACACAAGTACATGCGTTTGGGTCGAACCAGCCGTAACACGAACTTCCCACGGCGAGCAATAGCGAGTAGAAGCCACACACCAGCTCGTATTAACGCATCGCGCTCGTTCACCACAGACACCGCTTCGTCCTCTGGCTCTGCGATATCTACGAGACCGTCCTGATCTACTTCATCCTCCGACTCGAGAGGCCCCGAAAACGTCGCCAGCAGAACTGGATCCGCTAGAACATCCACGATAGTTCGCGTCACATTCGTGCATAGTTGGTTGAAGCTTTCAGACGGGGTACTGCGTGTCGTCATGATAGCAGTATTTAACAGAAGAAAACACTCGCGTACAAATGCAGGGGAATGATTCATGTGGTCACGGAGCAGTAACAGCACGTACTGAGTGGGCAGTTGGCCATGAAACAGCATCGCGTAGCGTCTGATGATCAGTCGGAGGCATCGGACACATAATTGCGCCCATTTCTCATCATGTTCCACCGCCAGTCGGTCCGAGAGATGCCACGCTAGCACAACAGGCTCAGCAATCTCAAATGTAGCTGACAAGTCGGCTACACGAGGAATGAGATACTCCACAAAGTAGTCGTTTACCACAAGTTCTTCATGCATCGAAGGGTACTCCACATAGAACATGTCGTGGTCCCAGCGCATCTGCTCGCCTGCCTGTGCACTATTATCTTCCATCACGTGTCTTCTTCGACGTTCAAGAGAATCAATTTCGGTCTGTAAAGCTTGACGCAGCTCCGTACGCATAGCAGCGCGCCATACCAGCTCCGGTCTTTCGTGTGTTTGACGTACAGCTTCAAGCACTTCTCGCCAGTGCTCTCCCTTCTCCCGTGCGTCTCCAATCCATCGTTCAAAGGCCCCTCCACCGAAATTCATAGCGTTATACGCCAACGTTACCACGCGGCTCCGCTTACTCTCAATATTTCCATTCGTCACAGCCATATTCGACGTCGCGATGGACGTGCGTCTGGGCGGCTCAAACTCGAAAGGAAAATGCGGCAAAGTCCTGGCACTACGAGCTGCAATTGGAGGCTTATGAGCCATAGAAGACGGCGACGCTCCTGTGTGTCGTGGGACAGCTTCACGTTGGCTTCGTGGGGGGATAAATAACTCGACTGGAAAGATACGGTACATCGCCTTCTTCGAGCGAGAGTTGCCAGCACAGAACACTTCCACAAGGTCCACACTCAAGTCCCGTATTTCGAGCTCAGCTTCACCTGTATCGTCCACTTTCTTCCCGTTCTTTAATGTGTCCACATCATCTTCTTGCACGGCTGTTGCAAGCGCATACAACAGCGCGCCATACTCCCTCGCTGACTCTTGCAGCTGATGCACCCGCTCCAGATCCACAATACAGAATAATTCCTTCACCAACGCAATCGCCAGACGCATAACTGCGTACTCGCCAGCTCTGCAATGACACAAGGCCAGTACCGACACGCGCGCGCTCATGAGCGCCTCTATCGCTTGCGTGCACGTCATCATATCCGTCGCTACTCGTCTCTTCACCAACACCAAGTGGAACAGTGTTAACACGCCTTCCAGCACGTTAGCTGCGTCTTGTTGCTGCTCTTTCTTCGCCACAGCATCTCCGTATAGTACCAGGAGCGAGCGCAACACTTCGAAGCCTCCAGCGTCGCCAAAGTTTCGTCTGTTTGCCGCTTCGCTCCGATCTGCCACCTTGTCACCGGGTTCGAAGCCTGGACAGGGCGATAGCATCAAGTGTAGGGTTTCCAGTACCGACACCACGAGCGTAGGCGACGGACGGTGTAGACACGCGAGGAAAGGCTTCATGAAGCACTTGGCGCACAGTTTGTAGAGCTCTCGCCAGCGGATGACGCGTCGGAAGCTCGTGAGGATGAGCCCTGTCATGTCACGCCCATTGTTACGCTGCGCTTGCTCCGTCTGGTCCTGTAACAAGCCGTGTACCACATCGAAGAGACGGCGTTCCTTGACGTCGACGCCTACGATGTTACTTAGGAGGTTGGGGTCCGCATCCACGGGCACTTGGAGCTGTTGAAAATGCGTTGGGAAGTCAATAAAAGTGCCACGAGTTTAAAACAATAGTACACCACATCAGAAGCCTTACCTCGAGCGGGAACAAGGCGCAAAAGGTGCGCAGCACTTCCTCGAGCTCGGTCTTGCTCACGTTGGGCCGACGCAGCGCCAACACGTCGCGCAGCGCGCTCTTTTGCTGCACGGAGCCGGCCTGCCCCATACTTTAAGTATCGGCCAGCCGCAACTCCAAGTATCCAAAGTGACGCTGGATTGTCTGTCAAAGTGTCCATGGATTGCTAGAGGTTTTCTTTATAAACGATATGAAAGGGTCTTTTATTCGAATCAATATTCGCTAAAAATTATAAATCAGAGGAAATGATTATTTACTCGAATTCAGGTTTACGGAATGTCGAAATGTTCATTACAGTAGATAAAAAAATGGTAAACACAAAGCAACAATTAAATCCCTTATTTATCATGAAATAAAGGAATTCTTGATTTGCTCGCTATAACCATTTCACGTATTGTAAAATATGAGCGCAATTTTTTCTGAAAAATTGTGTTTTTTAAATGTGACTTGTCACTTCATAAACTCTTAAAACTAATAGGGTTAGGTAATTAACCCAAAAATTTTAAATTGTAAAGTATGCAGACAGATGGCTACAAGGGGTCAAGTAGAAGTGAACTTCAACGACATACCACTCGACAGCACATTTCGAAACCGGGTAATACATGATCTCAAGAGTGCAAAAGTAAGATTATCTCGAAAACTCGATAGTAAAAAATATGAAAAAACGCTGGTTGCAGTGTTATCAACGAAAGAAGGTTCGGAAATCTTTCATGAAGTTAAAATGCCTGGGAGAGCTGCGTTTGATTTAGGTCTTGCGATGCAGGACGGCGGTACGGTGTGGGACGTTGCGGAGAAGCTCTGACACGGTTTGGACGCGCTTGTGGCGTTCTGGTCAATGGTGCTGCCAGTCTTTCATCGCGTCGCGTGCGGTACGCTTTTTAAATGCGGGCACGCCTCTCTCTAGTTTCATCAGCCGTCGACTGATAGCGCGAAGGGACGTTGCGGTAGTGGGCGCTGTCGTTGCTTTGAAGGGGCATGTAGCTAACGTGGTAGTTTGTTAGCGCAAAACATAGCCGAGCTAGCATGTCGTATCGGGTCTCGCTCCACTTGTACGTTACGTACATCGACTTCCACAGCGTGCACACCCTGCCGAAAAAGTTTTCTACCAACACTGAAACAAGACGATTTCGTGCAACGTATTGGTGGCTAAGCTCTGATGGTGAGTTCGCTAAGTGACAGCATGCAAGCTTACTACTGTCGAACAGCGTGGAAGCGTTTAAAGATCTCGCCCGTGAACATGGCGATTGGCTTAACAACCATGATCGTAAGACACATACACTTGCTGAAGCTCTACAACGACTGCGCGCTGCTGAGCACCAGCGTGACCAGCTGCGTGCGCAGACCAGACAACCGGTCGCGCATTCAACGCAAGTTGCTCACGTCGGAACGAATCAAGGACAAGGCCAAACTCGAGGACGCAAGCGCAACAAGCAACAGCGTAAGCGATCTAAGGGTGCTGCAGATAAGAAGCAACGTACGAACTGCGCGAACTACCAAGGAGAAGGACATTGGTATGCCGAGTGTACGGCTCTCACTGGCCACCAACTGAAGCCAGAGCTTGGCAGAAAACTGCAAGAGAGACAACCCAGGGCTCCTGTGTCGCTGGTGAACTCCGTACATCATGTGGACGCGGTAGCGTTGGAAGAAGATGGCCAAGGACTGTTTGCTGGCCTATCACTATGCGATGCGAATGCGATTGACCTTACGGATGGTGCTGCACTATCACCTACGGTTACGCAATCACCTGTATGGTCACTAACGTCTCCTGCGGAAAGTGAAGAAGGAGGAGAGCGTCGCGTTGTTGAAGGTGTGCATGAAGTCCGAACCTCTGGAAACTCTCATGATGGACATTTGCTCTGTGAACGAACAGTCTGTGGATGGAGCTACTATGTTTCTCTTCATCATAGATGAGTCTACAGATACAAGTGTCCGTACCTACTCAAGAAGAAGAGGGAAGCAATGTTTCACATCAAGGTCATGTTGAACAGGCTGCGAACTCGCTTTCCTGAGAAGAAGGTGCGACGACGACATTTTGACCAAGGATGCGAATTTGCAAGCAAGGAGCTAAGTGACTACTGCAACGACCAAGGGATTGAGCAGCAGTTTACGAACGCCTACTCTCCTCAAGAGAACATCATTGGGGAAGGTGCTAATGACGTGGTGCTACCAAGGATCAGAGCGATGCTGATGGCCACGCACATGCCCAGCTCCTTGTGGGGAGAAGCCTTTCTGCATGTGGTGACGACGTTGAACTGGTGGCCCACCAAGCCCTTAGGATTGGTGTCCCCGCACCAGAAACAGTACGAATCGGAGCCTATGCTGGATGATTTGCTTACTTGGGGGTGTCTAGCACACGTGCGTGCTCCCCCTGAGTCAAGACAAACAAAAGAAAAGCTGGAAGCAAGGGCAAGAATGTGTCTATTACTGGATTACAGTGAGTCGACTCTAGGCTACAAGTTCATTGACCTGGTGACAGCTCAAGTGGTGACAGCTCGTAGTGGGAATGTGAAGTTCCATGAGGAGTTCACGACTGATGGCATCTAGATGAAACACCTGTTAGAGAACGCATTCTTTGATGGTGATCATACTCCACTAGAGACTGTACCTGTGGCGCGCATCAAGACCAACATGGAGACGTACCTTCCAGGTTGGAGTGACGGCATCTCTAGTGCGGAGAAGTCACTTGGGGCGGTACCACTTGCTGACGAACCTGCAGAAACTGAGTTAGGTTCGAGTGGGAGTTTGTTCATCGTTGACGCAGCTGCAAGCAAGGACAGTGCGGAGGCTGCTGGTGTTTCAGCACCAGCCGTGTTGCAGGATCCTGCTGAAGAGGCCAAGGAAGGTTCGGAAGCGATAAAGCGCAAGAGACGCAGAACAAAGAAGAAACCTGCAGCGGTGGAGAAGGAGACAAGTGGCTTCGAGCCTCAACCTCCATCAAGAGAGCCCTGCCTAAAGCGACCAAGAAGGAGGCAGAAGGCGAACGTTCGATTGTCGAATTACGTGGTAGGCCTAGTGCAGGCTACGACTACGGATGTGCAAATTCCTACGGCGTACAAACAAGCACGTGCAAGCAAGTACTGGCAGCAGTGGAGAGCTGCAATGTTGGTGGAACTTCAATCGTTGAAGGTCACAAGACCTGGAAACTTATACCCCGCAAAGATGCCAAGAAAGTGAAGGTGATAACGTGTAGGTTGGTCTTTGCTGTGAAGAGAGACGAGCGTGGACGTTTCAAACGATTCAAAGCGCGACTAGTGATCCACGGACTCAAACAACAACTTGGGATTAACTACTCTGAGATCTATGTACCCGTGATCTGGTTCAAAACCATACGTGTGGCTATCTACTACGCTGTACAAAGAGGTTGGAAGGTGCTGCAATTTGACGTGAAGACGGCTTTTCTGGGATGGAGACTTGGACGAGACTATCTTCATGGAGCAGCCTCCTGGCTTCCAGGTGGGTGGACCTGGATCCATTTGCAGATTGTTGAAGAGCCTGTACGGACTGAAGCAAGCACCGAACGTTTGGAATCGCACGCTTCATGCGAATTTTGTTGCGATGGGCTTTTCTACGACGGACTCTGACTATGGCCTATATGCACTGAGGAAAGATGGTGAAGTCAAGTTGCTACTGACTATTTACGTGGACGATCTACTGCTGATGGGACCACGTGACCTGTGTGTTACGATCGCTGCCTCTCTGCAAGAGACATTCGAGCTTACGACGATGAGCACAGTCAAATATCTCTTAGGCGTCGAGATCCTGATTGACCGGACGCGCCGGCAAATTGTGTACTGTCAGAAGCAGTACGTACTGGAGGTGTTGAAGCGTTTTCATATGGAGAGCTGTAATGGCTGCGCTACACCAGAAGCTACAGCACCCTCGAAGACAGACGTGCCTATTTCGAATGAGTATCTTCTCTACAGAGAGCTAGTGGGTACCTAGTTAGTGCATCAAGACCTGACATAGCTCATGCTACTCGACACCTGGGCAAGTATCTTGCGAGCTACGATCATATGCACTATGCACAAGTCAAGAGGGTGCTGCGTTTCCTGAAGGCTACATGTGACTACGGACTAGTGATGAATGTGAAGCTACAGACTGATGTGCAAGTTAGTGGCTACTCCGATGCTAATTATGCGAACGACCCTGTGGATCGACGGAGTATCAGTGGCTACATCACTATGCTGGACGACAGCGTCATCTCCTACGCATCTCGAAAGCAAGAGATCAACGCACTCAGTACCTGTGAAGCGGAGTACGTAGCAATGGCAGACGACCAAGGACTTGTTGCGGCTTGCTGGCCTATGCAAGGAGTTGAGCTGGAAGCATCCAGTACCTCAACTACTTGGAGATAATCAAGGAGCCATTGCCTTAACTGCGAAACCTGGCAAACATTCGAAATCGAAACATATCGACAACAAGTACCACATGATCAGACGCCACGTGCAGTTGAGACAACTTACAACCCAACACATCGGAACTGATGAAATGGTGGCCGATATCATGACAAAGGCACTTGCAGTGGTGAAATTCACACACTTTCGCAAGGCTATGAAGGTCTTACCTATTGTGTCGAGTGACGACAACGTACGCAATGATATGGCTACAACTACGACTACTGCTACTGCCTGGACTACTGCTGTTGATGCGGAGGCTGAACTTGAGCGACATTGATGAAGACGAGAGCGATCGAGTGGGAGTGCTGTTACTGAGTGGACTGCTATTGCTTGTGGGCTTCGACTACGCTACTGCTAGGACTATGGCGGCATCGAGGATGCGCGTGTGTGATCGCGTCGACTTCCAATAGCGTCGCCGAGATCAAGTGGGAGTGTGAGCTGTGAACTTACCTGCGTGTCGAGCGCCAGTGCAATGCAGTCTACCAGTGTACGGTGCCCCCGTCTACGAGCCACCGTCCACTGCCAGTGTCTGCAAGACACACTCATGCGCCTGGCAGTGCAGCTTGCGGCTGCACTACAACCGGCTACACTGAGTACACATGCGTGCAATGGCGAAGGACTATACCAAGTACTGTATGCACAAGGACATCGTTGGCTGTGCGCTGCCAAGATGGTGTACTCAACGAGAGTGCA